GAATAGTATGGCTAAAATTTAACAGTAGGTAAACCTTGCCAATGAGTTGATGAAAGCCCTTCCAGACCTGGTTGAGATGCATGTCTTTTTTTTGGGTCACCTGGCTAAATAAAGTTGTGACCAATTTGTGCATGATCATTCTATTCTTACTCACGTGGTTGTGGGGATCCAGATCTCTAAATGGTATTTATTCTATTAGACATTGAGCGTGCAATTAGAATCTACAATTTAAATTAGAAAAACTAGTAGGAAAACAGAAAATTATAAAAGCACTAAAGAAACTATAAAAAAAAACACAACCTCTAAATTATAGATTAAGATTTAAAACCCCCCTGTTTGAAATTCATCCATTTCTATAAAGGTAAAAAAATTTTACATGTATGCCTAATTGTATGTTATATGCGCATGCTTAGGGTGTAATCTACTAGGTATATTTACTAAGCTTGTTGTTTTGTTCATTCCATTCAAATTCTCATCTTTTCTATATCAGAAATCATAGATTGTAGTGCCCAAATCAGAAGATTCGCAATTTATTTTATTTTCAGGTATGGTCTATTTTAGTTTGACTTTTCACATTCTAATACCTCATGAATTTTAATTTATTATTTTTACAATGTTACAAGGGATAAGTAGATGCATTTTTGCATTGTGTTGTGTTATGACCGATCGATTTTCTAAATTAGCTTATGCCAAACAACCATAGTTCCTCTGTGGAATTGCGAGCTATCATAGTGGCGCCTATATCGGATGGGATATTGAGAACATTGTTTAATGATGCTCATTACCATATGAGATATGGAGACGGTTTATAATTATGGTACTCATGACTGGACGGGTATGAGAACAATTGATGATTGTTATGAAAATATTTGGTATCCACATGACCTTTACGAGCCCTCAACGTTACTAGTCAAAATGGCATCACGTGATGAAATTTAAAAAGGTGAATAAGAAACTTTAATCTTAAAAACTAAATGGTGAATGGTCAAATTTGATGGATACATATAGTGTCTAAATATGAATGTGTTTCGATGATGAATTGATTATGGGTATGGAAAGATGAATGGTCAAATTTGATGGATATGTACGGTATCTATATATGAATGTGTTTTGATGATGAATTGTTGATGAATATGAAAATGTTGTTAATGAGTATAGAAAGACAAATGGTCAAATTTGATGAATAGGTACGATATCTGTATATGAATGTGTTTTGATGATGGATTGATTATGCGTAAGGAAATTTGTTAAAGGGTATAGAAATAATTTCCTAATGAGTATTAAAATTTATAAAGGAAGACGAGGTGGATAGTATGAATCTAAAATTTAAAATGGTTTCTGCAAAATAAAGATAAGTTTTATCAAAATAAATAATCCATTGATAGTTTTATTATTTTCTACAATACTTTGATAAACCATTATGTATTTTAGTTTATGTATTCTTATTAAGGTAGTGTACCTCATCTTATTTTTTATATTTTCCTCCATATCA